GCACCTGACCTGGCGCCCAACATGCCATCCAACCACCAAGCTAAGCACTGCCCTTTTCGCAAAAAGGAGGTCCCAACATGAACCAAACGGTTTTTCCCAATCCCTTCTGGCAACCAAGACCCCAGACCCCAAGACCCTCATGTCTGTAAGAAAGGTTCCAACATGATATCGGTGTGCCATTTTTTGAGGATAGTTACTAATCATTACCTTCTTTGCGGGGAAACCAGCCGAGACACCAGCCATTAGTTTGGGGTTCCCTAAAAAACACGACCGCCATTTTGGGGTCCGATTCCTGAAAACGACCAGCCCAATATCCAACTTGGGGTCTTGGAGACTTCCCGTTGAAACCCGACGCTTCCAAGGCGCGGGCGGTCTCAGTCTATGCAGCTCTCCAAGTCCCACCGGGTGTGGCTGGAGGCCTCCGCGTCGTTGTCGGACAGTTTTGGAGGAGTTCGGCCGGGCGTTTGTGGAGCGTCAAATGGAGAAATGCGTCAAACCAAGGGGACTGGGACGTGAAGTTGCGATGTTTTCCCCTTTGGTTTCTCAAGCTACCCCTTTTGGGCGTTCGCTACACACCCAAATGTTTGGATGGCCCCGCAAGGATCGGCAGTGACGCAACTTCTGTTTTGGGTGGACAATTCGGCAATCGGTTTGAGGGAATTGGGGGTCCTTAGGGGTTGCAAGGAGGTTGAACAGAAGGGCAGGCGCTTTTGCCCTCTGCTTGCCCGCGTACTTCACGATGTGCAAGACCAAGCAAGCACTGTGTTTGTAACAAACCGCACTCCAAGGCGAACTTAATTTCAGGGACACTTTCAGTTGATGCAAGCCAAACGTGTTTGCATACTGTTTCAGCTTTGCTTGAAACATGTTTGTACATATATATATATATATACATACGTACATATTGGGTATGTATATTCTTACGTATACACATTTAAATGACTATTATATGATAGTGTATATATATATATATATGTTGCTCGAATGTGTGTGTGTGTGTATATATATATGGTACCCCCCCCCCCAGGGACCTACCTTTTTGAAGAAATCACTGGTATTTGCAGTGTGTTCTACCCTTTTTTGGGCTTTGAGGAGAGCCATGAAAAAGAAGCATTTCCATCGACGTTCTGGAAGCTTCAGGCTTGATTTAAACCGATTTAAATTTAAACCGATTTAAACCGATTCAACTAAATCGGGCATGGATTCAAGATTCAAGATTCAAGAATCCAGGCCAACATTTTTTCAGGGAGTCTTGAATCTTGAATCTTGAATCCATGCCCGATTTAAGTTAAATCGGTTTAAATCGGTTTAAATCGAGGCCTGGATTCAACATTCCCTGGAAAAGTTTGGCCTGGATTCTTGAATCTTGAATCTTGAGTTTAAATCGAGACCCACATTCAACATTGCACTTTGCGCGGCTGTACTTTGGCACAGTGTTGTGCAAGCATCCAAGTCCTGATTTTTCATTCAATCTGTTTCAATCTTGGCCCACATTCAACATTGTAGGCCAGTTTTTTTCTAGTGAATCTTGAACCTAGGCTTAACTGAAATTTCAGTTGGTTTCAATGGGTTTCACTCGGGCCTGGACTCGCGTTTGCAAAGAAGACTTGTCTAGAGAATATTGATTCTTGAATGTTGAATACAGGCTTGGGTTCTTTCCTTATCAAATCCTGTGAAAGCTCTAATTGAATTGTAAGTACATATTGGGAAAGGAACTCTATTTAAAATTTAAACTGGAAATTTCAGATTTGATTACCATTAGGATTCTGACCAAATATTTCCGTATTGAGTCCCAATTAAATCGTGTTCAAATTCAATCGAGCATTTAGCGAGTGTTCGTTGGTGCAGATATGAATTGAGTATGAAAAGCACAACACAACACTGTGTTTTACGGTGTTTTCTGACCATGGCAGTGTTAGGACTAGTGAAAAGACAAGTTTTGGACCTTTGGATTCTTTCCTTATGAATTCCACTTAATACGTGTTATCACATTCGACCCAATTTATGTTTGAAAGACAACGGAGCTTAAGAAGGACATACTCCAGCCAGAATTTTGATTTAGATTCGAACTTAAGTACTGATTGTTCTATGTCACATTAAATGGTACAACCGATTTCCTGTCCAATAGAACATTGTACTTGAAATTCAGTCACTTTCAGAACTAGAGTTAAACTATTAGATGGTCTAGTCCTAGCTTGGTCTTAGTCCTAGTTGGGAGATCCTTGGTTCTAGGCCTAGTATGGTCCTAGCTTACTGAAATAAATAGAAGGTACAAAGGACAATGCAAAGGAAGTTCCTTATGAATTGTAGTTACTATATTAATCAAGTTCTATGCAACTGCCAACCGAACAGTGGAATAAAATAAAGAAAGTGTCCAGTCATAATTTATGGTTTTTCTGTTTCAAGCCAAATATTAAACATGACTTTCTTTCCACCAGAATGTAATACTTGACATCCAAATACTATGAGAAGTAGAGTTAGATGGTCTAGTCCTAGTTTGGTCCTAGATGAGAGAGATCCTTGGTTCTAGTGCTAGGTTGCTCCCTAGTTTACTGCAATGATTAGAAAGTATACAGGACATTACAGAGGAAGTTATACTTGAAGCTTATTTTTTTGTAAGAGTCTGAGGCGGGTCGTCTAGTCCTAGTTTGGTCCTAGTCCCAGTTGAGAGATCCTGGGTTCTAGTCTCATTTGGTCCTGGTCCTAGTTGAGAGAGCCTTCTTCCCAGTCCTAGATGGGCAAAACATGCCTTCTTCCCAGTCCCTGGGGGGGGGTAGCATATATATATATATATCAATAAACCACGCCCTGACACGCGTAACGCACCCACTAACCACGCATGATGCTGGCAACGGGCCGCTTGAAATGGCCGGGCCGTGCATGAGCCTCGTTGGGGCACCGCTGCTTGTGGATTTGAGGCTGCAGCGGGTTCACCTGTTCGAAGCGGCAAAACTTTCTGGCGATTTGGTGGCGGATCTTTGGACTCATAGGTGTCCGTTTTGGTTGAATTGGTTTGAAAATAGAGGACATGTCGGAACCGCTGTTGGTTGATTTTGCTTCATACTCGTTTTTCACGCGCATTCCAACCCGTGGTGAACAGCCAGGCTACCGGAATGACTCTCGCGGGTCCGCCCAACCTAGACCGAGAAAACAGGTGGGAAGCCTGCGGGAATGCCCAACCTGCGGGAAATCCCTCCAAACAACTAGGTGCCCCAGTACATAGTGCCCTTTTACCGCTTCTTTTTTGGTTGGGAGGGTTCCCCTACTAAAATAGACTACAGAAGAAAGGGTACCCTTATTCTATCCTCTCTACTGGAGGACCTAGACAAGGTTGCTCCCCTGGAACCAAAAAGGGGGATGTTCCAACAGGAGTTTCCTCTGGGTTCCATGTTAATCTGCCGGGGAGTCGATTGTAAGGTTGGCTAACTTTGAAGCAGAATCTGAAATGGTCAGTTTCTGTGTATGGGGGATGACTGCCAGATGGCGCACGCGAAGCCGTAGTTGTGTGCCATCTGATCTAACACCGAAATGCATCTTGCGCATGTGCCATTTGATGTGTGTTTGTACCCCAGATGTGGACCAAGATGGGAAAGTGGGGGAACCCATAAAGAACTTGGAGGCTCCTAGCCATCCGCTTAGCTTTCTAGCCTTTTAGTGTTTAGTGGTAGTTTCCATTTCACCCACTAAAAGTTCGTCAATTTTAGCGGGGGATCTGAAAGCGGGCAGCCCAGAGAACTGACCGAAGCTTCCTTGAAGCCCTGCCAGACCTTGCTGCGCTTGCGCGCAGCAGAGGAGCTGCGGGATGAGTGCAGCCAGTGCCGGGCTCAAGGTGCAGATCCGAGTCTCAAGGCAATTTGTGGGTGTGTGTGTGTGTGTACTTCCTCACTCCCAAGTAAGTTGCTGGATTTTAGTCACTCACGTTTTGGGTTTGGATCATTTTGGTGGTAAACAGCAAGTTTATACTTGTTCTCGCCAATCCATTCGGGAAGCGAGGTTTTTGGGCTACACTCCTGTTCACGTTGCCATGGAACCTGACTGAGGGGTCGTGGAGGACCATGTTCCTTCAAAAGGACCCCTCTGGCGAGTTCCATGTTAGTGGACAGGCCGATATCCCTTTTGGCTTTGGGACACACAAAACCCGCGGTGTGGGTTTACGAGGAAACCAAAAGGGAATCCGAAGCCATATTCGAGGGGGTCCCCATGTTGACATATGCCCATGTCCCTTTGTCGAGGATTTGGAAAATCACCGTCCTTGCCAAGATAAACCTTTTATCTCCTTGTGGTGGGGTCACGATTGGGGCACAGAAGGACTAGGGAGGTCTCCAAGGGCCAAACAACCAGTTTGCACGGTCCCCGGCAGAATTTGGAATTTGGCCTCCCGAGCTTTGTGCGCAAAGGGCGGCCTTCCCAAAGAGCCAACAGGTAGGGATAAAAATCGACCACTTTGGTCAAGCGCCGGCAAAGCAAACGTTTTTTTGCCATTGGTCGCGTCGTGTTTTTTTCTTTTGTCTTTTTTTTTTTTCTTTTTTGTCTCCTTCTCTTATTAAATAATACAAAGTATAAATAAGAAAGATAAATATACAAACAATAACATAAAAAATAACGGCTAAGACGCAGGTCTTGGAACATTCATGCGCGGAACCGTGTTCCGCCAAGATGAAAATCCCCACGGTGCTCAGTCTGCCCGGCTGCCTTACAGTGTTTTTGTTTCTTCCCCTGAACCTTTTAGGTTCTTGACGGATTTCACAAGTCCTCTTGTTTTTTTGGGATGTGTGCGTCAAGAGAGAGAGAGAGAGAGAGAGAGAGAGAGAGAGAGAGAGAGAGGGAGAGAGAGAGAGAGAAAGGAAAATCCCCAAAATTGATTTGCCTTTGGCTTCCGTTAAAACCAAAACGGGTGTCAACATGGTTGATTTCCTCTTGGCTTCCGTAAAAATCAAAACTGGGGTTCCCCAAAAAAGGAACGACACACCCGGATTCCTCTGAGGCAAATCGCAGGATTCATGGCCGGCAGGGGCTTGTTGGGACGGCGCCTCAGCTCGCTGGGTGTCTGAACCATGGATGAAAACAAGGGGTCCGTGGATGGGTGGCTTTCCCTTTGGTTTTACTTGAAAATCCAAACCTCAAGAAAGAACATGTGTTTGTAGGATCACGGATCATTTTCAAGATCTTGGACCTTTTTGCTTGGGGTAAGAGGAAGGCTTGCGATTGAGGGGAGCCATGACCATGGCTGACGTAGGGAGTTGTGACCATGGCGCACATAGCCAAGGGGTGGCAAACCGATTGGGAGCCCGCCGAGTTTCCCTGGGACCCTTCAACTTGATCACGGGATGGCCCGCGGAAGGGGTCTTGAGCATGGCAATGCCAATAGCTGCCAACGCCTCTCTCGTTCTTTTCGGAGAAAGCTGGTCTCAGGGTCCATCCACATAACAAAAAATCCCACCCATATGGGGGTTGATCAATATTCCGTTCGGCCCCCAGCTTCGACCATGAGTAGCTTTTCCCATATTCAAATATCGTATCTTCGTGGTTTTCCAATGGTCGTCCACATGTACCTTCCCCCAAACCAACATGGAAGCTCGCAGGACCCCTTTGGAAGGCTTGGTTCAGGATCGGCCTTCTTGGGAGCTTCCATGTTACATTAGTCTGGCGGAGTTCTAATGATCGTCCCATGTATCGGACCCCACCCTCAAAGTTGCCGTTGCCGCCAGCGCGACGCTCCCAGAGAGAGCCCCACACACGGGTACGGGTCAAAATGAAGCCACCAGGGGACCGCAGGTTGTGGTCCATGTTTCCACTTAACGCTCCCACAGGGAGCCCCACACATGGCTGTGGGTCAAAAACGGGTACCCAGAATGAAACCCTGGTAAATGGAACCAATAGGACTAAAACCCGCGTAACCCCCCTGTTTCATTTTGACCCATACCCACATCGGGACCATCAAAGAAAATCTTTCCGTCAGGCGAGGGGGAGCTGGAGCTGCTGCTGGACGCCGCCTTGCGCCGCAGCCAAGGCATCTGCTTCCTGGGCCAGGCGCCGATCCGGGGATGGGTGTGGCTCGAAATTGAACAGCTAGGGCCAACCGGTTTTAGCCTGTTCCATCTACCAAGGTGCCATTGAAGTGACATATCTTTTGAGCCACAGCCAGATCACTAAAAAAAAAAGGGGCTCGGTGAAAACCCGGGATTCGCTCCTCCGAGCTTGGTGGCTCGTCGGAGGATTTGCATCCGGTTCCTTTGGCTTTCTGGAGCTTTTTGGTCGTTGGTTGGGTTGGGTCTCCCTTTATGGTGAACCCGCTAAAGGCGACAACTTGTGGCAGGGGGATCTGAGGATAGCCGGAGAGCCCGGCAAAAAAAATGAGTGAGCCGCGATCAAGACCTGGACCAAGGTTGGTAAGGGAGAGCCCAACCATACATAGGTAGGACTGCCTGTGTTAGTACTTGCATAGGCTTTGGTTGCCCGATTTTCATACCAGGTATTGAGCATGAGACTCAGATGTGTTTTTTAAAGGGAGCAGACTAAATAAAACGGTCATGTTCCCATGTACCCCAGATGTGGCCCATGGTGATGGACCCCTCAGTAGGGACTTGATCCAACCATTGTAAGTGTTCCTGGAGGAGCTGTGACCACGGTCCACATTTGACCATGGCACATGTGGAAATTGGGCTCTCATGTTGTTCAGTTTATCATAATATTGTTTGGGAATTCCTCTTCAAAGTGACTCACTTCGGTTTGCCATTGACAGACTTTGCCTCGCCTTGTTGCATCCATTTGTAGGTCCAAGTCTGGCAAGCGATGCGCTTCACTTTAGGAGGCTTTGCTGCCTGGTTTGGGGAGGATAGCAAGTTATCTATGCATAGGTGGTGTCTGTTCTGCGCTTTGTTAGTTGGTTGTTTCAAACACGGGCGGGGGACACCACCAGGCGGTCTGAAAGGGCGATGGCTGTGTGTGTGCGTGTTGTTATTGTCTGGTGGATACTGAGCGCTCAACTTAGACTCTTATCCGGTTGAATTTAAGTCTTGACATGTTTTTGGTTCGGGATCACGGATAGGGAACCAGGCAAGCAGCTGAGTGATGGTGCCCCGGGTTTAGGTGCACAGGTAGTTGATGTCGTTAGGGTTATATCAGTTGGGACTCTAGGAATGGTCAACCACCTGTGAGGGAGAACTGTGATTCGAGCCGCAACGCCATCTCCAACCGGAGTTTGGATCATGCGGCAATGGCGGAAATGGCTGGAAACACATTTGAATCATTTAGTTTGTTATTCGCCGTCCACTGGCGTTTAGGAAGGACCTGGGGACCATGCACTCACACAGTGGATTTTCACATGAGCAGTGTTGTCCACTGGAGGACCTGGGAAAAACCCGCGCAAGAATCCAGGAGCGGGCCCCGAATCATTTTCACAGCGGACAATATTGTCAGGTATCGGAATTGGGTGGGGCCCTATGGGCTTTGCAGGTATCGATTTTGGGTAGTTGCAGATTTGTGGTAGCGATATTGCCAGGTATTTCCGTGTCCCTTCGGGGCAATAGGTACTTCTGTTTTTTCAACCCCGCACCTCCATATTGGTTTATGGGCCCGAACAAAAAGGTTGGGGGATCAACAAAAACATGGCCCCTCATCTGGAGCAAATATCTGGCCCTTGGGTTCTGTCAATCTGTAGGGCAGTACATGTTTATTAGGGAGTAGCGTTTTAGTTCGGGGGGCTACGGTATCTTCCGCGTCAGAGGGGTTTTGTTGAGACCCGGACAGCTGAGTTTGTAAGCTGGCACAGCGTTTTGCTGATGGCCATCCTGTGGGTTCAAAAGAATGCCATGAATTTTGGGGCTCCCCATTTGGCGGAACCCAAACAGAAACCCATTGAAAGGAAACACACCATTTGTTGGTGTTCCAAACTCCCAACCAAAAGGAAACTTCTTTCAATCCTGATGTCAAAACCACTCGCAAGGGGACAAATATGGCCCCCTGTCCGTTCGGGACTTCCCGGCGCCACCGTCTTGGTTCGTGGAGTTGGGTGTGTCATCCGCATGGCTTGGATTTTAGACGTGGCAAGAAGGAAGCGAGGTGGGAACCCAACAACCATAGGTGACCTTTTGGCAAAGTAGATGAATGGCCCTCAGGGTTTACCCATGTGGCAATCTATGTAGCCTGCCAATGCAGATCTCACTCCCTGAGTTCATGGACAGCACGCTTTTTGGGTTCGGACCATTTTAGAGGAAACCGCGAGTCTGGACTTTTTGTTTTCGCCAATCCACTCTGGAGGTGAGGAATCCCAAGATGTTGAATATGAGCGCCTTGGACCCCCAACAGACCTCAAATAGTAGGTTTGGGTAGTTTAGGGTGTAAGACCTCAAATAGTAGGCACGGGGGATTTTCTCGGGTGTGATCCTATTCCAGAACAACTGGAGCGCTGTTTCGAGCTGCCCCGCAGGTGCTGCAAAGCCTCTTCAGCCGACCCGGCTACTTCATGTCTCTGGCACAGGCGCCGTCGAGCAGCGCCCAAAACCCGCACCGGCCAGTTTAGCAAGGGGTTCTACTACTTGTGTCATGGGATTTATGCTAAGGCAAATGTATGTATGTCTCTCATATATATTATATATATATATACATACAACATATGTAGATGGTTGTGGAAAGTGCACCTCATTGCACCCCCCCCCCATTTCCAGCCAGAAGGTGAGGTCTCCAACATACTTGGTTCTCACATGTTCTCACGTGTCGAACCTCAGGGGTCCCTGAATTTCCGTTCTTGGGCGTCTAAATGTGGCAGTTTCAATGGCAACCTCCAGTAAACTACGAAATCCAGTCACCCCAGAACCTTTGGACATTTCTTTGACCAATTCGACCTGGTTTCCCAGGTTTGGTCTCTTTGCCAAGCCGAAAGCTGATTGCCTGTTATGTTCTAGGCATTCGGATAAGGATTTGGGGACCCAGCGGGGAGGGTTTTAGGATTTGCCAACCCAAACAAACAACATTTACCGCACATCTCGGTCAGGATCTCAGTGGAAGGATGGCCACCATCTTTTTGACATCAAACTCTTTTCGGTAAGAGCATTTTGGGGTGCAACAGCAACCTCTGGCTTTTTGGCCTGGCAATCCGCGCTTCCCCTAATTCCAGCACATCCCCGGGAAATCAGGCATTTGCCAAGCATGGCGGGGCCTTCATGACTACCACTAAGCGTTTAATTTCTGCCCTTTTCTGGGCTTGGGCATTTTCTACTCAGCAACTTTCAGCTCTCATAGAAAAGGGCCGTCTTTGGGACCTTGTCAAAATTTCAGCTGGGGAAACGACCACCTAAACCAGGGTTCCCCCCATTTGCCTCATTTGACGTCCAAGTGTGGCGATATCACGGGAAACCACCAGCAACTCGATTTTTTCTTCTGGAAATTCCGTGAGCCCTGGATGTGAGGCGCAACCCTTGTGGAACGAATCACTTGACCAATCTGGGTGGTTCCCAGCCATCCGGTTCCTCAGCCTTCTAGATCTTTTAGTGTTTGGTGGGATTTCCATTTAATCCACCAAGTTAAACTGTTAGCAGAGCATCTGAGGCCAGCCCGGCGATTTTTGACCTGGCTGCTTTTCAGGGTTTGGTACAGCCTTGAGGGAGAGTTCCGCTTCCGCTGGGCCTGAAGCCAACTGCCTAGCAGCTGAGGTTCCACGACAGTTCTGCCAGGGTTCCACCAGGGTTCCACGAGGGTTCCACGAGGTGCTGCGAGGGCTGCGGGATGGTGCGAGCACTAAAAAGAGAACCGCATGCTGTTGGGGATATCACCTGAGCTTATTGTTAAAGGGTAATTGCGCTTCTGCGTTGTTTGAAAGGAACATAAAGAGGAAGCCATTTGAAGGTCAAATCTAAAACAAGACACTCCCAGACTCGTCTAGCCATTGTCCGACATCGCCAGACGCAATTGGCCCAACGGGCGCCAGGAGGGCGGGTCCTTGCTGCAAGCGGCACTCTTGAAGCAGCTCACCCGCCGAGACCCGCAGGCACGTGGGTGGTGCCGGTTACGTGTGTTGTTTTCTTGCGGCTCGTCGTTTTGGAAGGACACTCTTCTTGGGGGCCGGCAAACCCGTGACAAAGAAAAGTTTTTTTTTTTGCTTGGTGTGTGTGTGTGGTGTGTGTGTGTGTGTGGTGTGTGTGTGGTGTGTGTGGTGTGTGTGTGTGTGTGGTGTGTGTGTGTGTGTGGTGCGTGTGTGTGGTGTGTGTGTGGTGTGTGTGTGTGTGGTGTGTGTGTGTGTGTGTTGTGTGTTGTGTGTTGTGTGTGTTGTGTGTGTGTGTGTCTGTGTGTCTGTGTGTCTGTGTGTCTGTGTGTGTGTGTGTGTGTCTGTGTCTGTGTCTGTGTTTGAAAGGAATCTAAGATTCAAGGGCTGTGTTGAACGGGAGCCAACGTGACACCACACATATTTGCACGTATTTTGAGACCCGCATCTCCTATGTGCTCAAATCACCAGATGACTCATCAAGCCCACCTGCGGGTAGGACCGATGTTTCATTTGATTTGTCCGACCTCCTGTTTGGCACCCATCCGGGAAGTTGCATTCCGCGAACTTACAGACCCACCAAAGTCCATCCCTCCCGTCCCTTAAATGACACCTCGGCTGCCCCGAGGGCAACCCTTCCACAACTTGGAAGGATTCAACAGGCGCTGCAATCCAACCACTAAAAGGCACCCCCGCAGTCAAAATCAACCAGGGGTCTATCAATCTGGCGTCCACATTATCCCAACGGGCAACTCGTTTCTGACAACTATGGCCAAGAAGCCCCATGTTACGTGTTACTCAGCAGACGAAAGTGGAACTAAAGCGACTCCTTTGAACGGAGATGCCGCGGAATGCGCTTGTTTGTGTTAACCTGCGCGAGTGTATGCCTGTTGATTCTCGCTGCTTGAGTTCCTGGACTTTATACCTGTGGGAAGACCATCTTGGTGGAACGTAAAGGAGCTTGGTGACCTTTCTGTGGTCCATCCACCCGGGAAGTGAGATATCGGCCTTCAGGGATTCGCTGAATACTTTCCACCACGTAGTTCTGGTCCGCGCCCCCCTGACTGCATAGGGGTTCGCGGCGCCTTTCGGTCGGTTCCGCGGGTTCAGTCGCGGCCATGGCTGTGCCAGGCCCTCGGCCTTGCAGGCGCCGTGGCGGAGGAAGAGCGCCGGAACCCCGGGGTTCTGCAAAAGAAGAGAAGGACGGGGCTGCGACAAGAGAATGAGATGTCGAAAGGACGAAAGAAACGAAAGGAAGAGAGAAAGACGGATTTGGAGCTTTGAAGACAGGAAGGGAGGGAGGGAGGGAGGGAGGGAGGGAAGGAAGGAGGGAAGGAAGGAAGGAAGCAACACAGAAACAACGACATCCACAGACAAACATATGCACACTCATGCAGAAGAAAACTGCCACAAGAACTTAAACATTCTCAGGACATTAAACGAGACACAAGTCTAAATACACGCACATAAACATGCGAGGGCAAACAGAAACAGACTGCAAGCAAACAAAAACACAACTACACAACGGCAAAGAAAAACAACCAAAACAGAAGCCGCCCAGTTGTTCAGGTGCGCCCTTCAAACTCCTTTTTGTTTGATCCACTCAAAATAGAATCGACCCCGAGAAGAGTTCCCTTTTTCTACCAGAGTGAATGAGCAACTTGGAGAATATAAGTAGTCCATTCTCCATTTGGAAGGGACATGGGGGACTTGCTCAATCTCCCGCAACGGGGACTCACAGATTCTCTCATGTCCAACTTTGACCATGGCTCCCATGGCCGTTGAAGGGAATGAACCTTCGGGATCATGTAAGGGGATCCCAAACAGTTCATGCCCAAGACCCGCAAATCCCCCGACTGAGAACCTGACCGTAGGTCAGTTTGAGCAGCCCAGTTTATGTTCCTAAACGAGTACACGATAAATTGTCCCGTATCTCCTTTAACAAGTGGCAAGCCCAGCGGCACCGTCCCAAATGACTCCATGTGTCCGTGGGTCAAAACCCTGCACCCCTGGTGAACATCAAAATAGGTGGCACACGGGTGTTCATCCGCCCCAAAATGGAGGCATAGGTTATGACCCATGGCCATATTTTTGACCCAGCCCAAACAGCCGCAACCAAAAAGGAAATCCTCTTAAATGAAGGTCGGGGGATTGGATCAGGTGCTTTTCCCTCCGGGAAATCGGATGCATGAACCACGTAGCCCCAGAAATTGCTTATGTGTTTTTTTTCCTTCAACCTCCTTGTTGGTTGCTTGGATTGGTGGTTTGGTGGAGGAGCCGTTTCCCATTTACCCACAAGATCCAGAGCTTCAAATCCGAATTCAAACCAATCCAAACCAGCAAATAGAGGGAAGCTGAATTGTGAGGATCCCCCCCCCTCCCCCGAAATTGCTTGTCTGATTTTTGCCACCAATCCAAGCCAACAAGAGGGAAGCAACCCCCAAAACAACCGATTCAAGGGCCCCTTTCCGAGCCAATCCAAGGCCGTCAGCTGGCCTTGGCCTGTGGCAAGCTGGCGAAGCAGCAGCTGCTCCAATTGGCCGCGCCGGAGCCCTGGCGGTCAGCGGTCAGCGGTGTTTCCTTGGGCTGCCGTATGTTTCCGGGTGAGTAACTTGCCCGGACTGCTTTTTGTTTGGGTGTGTGTCTGTGTTTTTTGAGGGCACCATTTTGCGGCTGAGAGGAAAAAAACGTTTTAGGGGGGGTGCCCCCTAGTTTGACACAAGTACTTCTGTGGCCTAAACCCAAACAAAAAAACACCTTTGTTGCCGAGGCGGCGACCAGAGGAGGCGCCGGGTATGGCCAAGTTGGTGGACAGCCTCGGCGCGTGGCGCGCTGGCGACGCTTGGCTGAGCTCGGGCTGGCGCCGGGGGATTTTTGTTTTGGGTGCATGAGCAAGAAGCTGAAAATCCCTCACCGAACGTGTTAAGGGAGCAGGCAACAGCTAAGCTGAGTTACCAGGATTAAGGATGAGTTCATGGACTTTAGTCGTTTTTTGGGCTTGGAACAGTATAGTGGCAAAGGAAACGTTTGGCTACTTTGTTTGGCCAACCCACTCAGGAAGTGAGGTTTTATTCGGCCCACCGACTTTTTGGGATGCTCGAACACACACAGGTAAACACATACTTTGGGGGATGAACAGGCCCTTGACTTTTGCAAGTGCTTCTTGCCATCATGCTTTGTTGAGTTGTGTGTGCGTGTGTGTTTCTTGCCCGGCTTGGTTTTAAGTTTGAGTTTTGCCAGGCTGTTTTGTCAATTTTGGTTTTGCCGAACTGGGCTTGTTTGAGGTTCTTGCCATGGTCGTTTTTTAGTTGTGTCTTTGCCCGGGTTGTTTCTTTTAATCCCCTCCCCTCCAATCAACAAAAGAACACCCCCGGAGGGTTTTTATTGTCAGGGTGCCCTGGGTTTTGGTCAGAGCTGCTTCAGATTGGCTTGTTTATTGGGTTCCAACTGGAGAAGTGGGACCCCATTTGATCTGAACAAGTGCTCAAAAGCCAATTTCCGAGATTCAGAACTTGGAACAAAAGAAACCCAATAACAAAAATCCTGATTTGTTTCAGAAGGACGCCTGAAGGGAAGCTTTTGGACACTCGAAATAAATAACATCAGAAACCTTGTCACGCACGGCAGGGAGCACAGAGGGTCATCTACATTGTTCCCCCGCCTGGGGGCACACGCGATCTTGCCAATATCCAAGCTTGATTCGGGTGCAGGCAGTTGGTGATCGGTCAAGTGCCTATGGTTGCACAAGCACTGCGGAATGACGAAAGGCACCAGGTAGGGAAAGGGGTGACCCCTAATACTAGTAGCCCATTTTGGGATTACGGGCTTTTAGTCAGTTTAGTATTGGTTTAGTATTGGCTAATTCAAAATTAGTATTGGCAAATTTTGGGGTCGGCTGGGGGGGGGGGTTTTATAATTGGTGGTCTGTATACGTATAGAAAAGCAAGAAGGGTTAATCGTGGTTTCCTCCTCCAGGGTGTGAAACGCGATCTTATGGAGCAAATGAAAACCACCCCCACCCACCAAACCAAACCACCAATTAGTGGGATGTTGACTACGAGTAGGAACTGCTGGCCACAACGTGCGTTTTCTTCTTTTGCCACGCGAAGCGCTTCAGTTTGGGTGAGATTTTTGGGCGCAAGCTTTGTGCCAGGTTTTGTGGCGAGACAAATCACAAGCTGTGGATTCTCAGCACGCATTTGGTGCGGTCCGGCTGTCCCTTCGAACAACAAGCTGTAGTAATCCTGGCCATGACACTTACATGTGCACAACATTCATCCGTAAGTGCTGCGCCATCCCCACCAGTCCTGTTGCGTCGGCTTCTAGTTGTCCCATGTGTTCCTTTGTGGCTTTAGCGGGACATGGCCATGATTGAGAATGACTTTCGTCAAACATGTTAAGGGCCTTTGTGGGGCAAGAGGCTGACCTACCAAGCCGACTCCTCTCATTTTTCTTGCTTCAGAAAGGCATATTCGGCATTGAACATCCCTCGTCTTCACCTCTTTTTTCGCAGCTTCCAAGTCACCTTTTGTTTCGGTGGTTGCAACTGGGCTTCAAGAAGCCCCTCGCATGATCAGCGCCTCCCGTGGCATCATGATCCCGAGGCTTCCAGTGAGGAGCAGCGCACTCAGTGGCCAGCAGGGTTGAGGCAACCCGCATGATTGAACATGGGTTTGTCTCAAAATCGGGGACCCTCAAATTTGGTAGTTGTTCTTTGAAAAACACACATTTTAAAGGGGGAACCATCAAAAAATGACACACCCACAGGTTTACACACTGATTGATGAAACGTTCTCCCGTTGGTTTATCTTTGAAGGGGAATGTCAAATTGTTTGGACTAGTTTTGCCCATCCCTGATGCCAAGTAATTCGACCATTGTTTTGCATCCAACGTGTTTTTGTGTTTCTTTGTACAAAATTCACGAACGGGAGAACAACCTGCCTTCGATGTGGCCGACGCTGACAGAAGGCCTTTGAAGCTGACAGAAGGCTTTCAGGCACTTCTTTTGCGGGTCAGAAATAGGTAAGCACTGATAGTCGTTTGAAGAATGTCTGATAGTTGAACATCGTGAAGCAGTTTGCTTGCCCTTATTGTTCATGTTCAGCAGGTCATGCAGATGTGGTCCCTGTTGGGGTTGTTTTCATGGGAAGCCAAAAGCCCCCACATATTTGCGTGCCCCCTATTACAAGACACCTATATCGAGTCACTCACCGTGCAGTCCCAAGGACCGGCGAAGGCGGGAACGAAAGTTTCGAAGCGAACGGTTTCGCAGGAAATGCAATGCACAGGGTTTGGATTTGGACCATCTCTGTGTTTGAGGAGACAAAGAACACCCATCAAGGTTTTTTTTTTCTCCACTAGGGTTTGCATGTTGACCCACTCTTTGTTTGGGTTGTTGTTGAACAACAAAAATGGGCTGAAGTGTTAACCGTAGGTGGTCGCTTGTCTTGACTCTTTGTAAGTATCCACTTGGGCCACCATTTTGGCTCAAGTGGACACTTCCCTTTTGTCTTGGAATCTGAAATTTCTCATTCCCCTCCTATCAAAGCCATGTACACCCCCGCCTATGCTGGTGCCGCGGTCGCAGAGGCTAAGGCGAAGGCGAAGGCATCCATGGCGAAGTACCTGGCAAGCCTTGTGAAAAAGGAGGAAGAAGGTTGGACCGTCCTGGCGGCTGAGGTCCCTCAGGCACCGGACGAACGGTTCTTCTCCAGCGCCGACGAGCTGGAGCAAGCCCCACTCATCCCAGCCAAGCGTAAGGCCGAGGACGAGCTGATGGCGGACTCCCCCCCTGGGGTGGCGCAGGTGCCGAAGGCCCTGACACGCCCCCCAGGGGCGTTCCTGGAGCTTCTCGACCCTCCAGAGCCGGATGTTCCCATGGAGGAACTCCTGGCGGAAGACGAGGAGGAGCCCCCGATGGAGGAACCCCTGGCGGAAGATGAGGTGGACCCCCCGATGTCCGACACCAAGTGGCAGGGACGCCAGGACCTTATGGAAAAGGCCAGGGCGCAGGTGTCCTCGGAGGGGGATGAGGACCCCGCAGCCCCCCCGCCAGGGGGAAGCGTCTTCACCAAGGCCCTCAAAGTCTCTGAGGGCCTTTACCAATTCAGTGCGGACCAGATGGCGGGCGACTTCCCGTGTTTTGATGGGACCACGGCCGCCAGGCTCCGACGACTGCAGGCCAAGGATGTCCAGCGGCTCTTGAGAGGCTTTGAGGGCCCCCAACTCAAGCAGGGGGGCCTGGAGCGCGTGGTGGAGGCGTTCTACATCGCCAAGATGAAGTATGAGCATGAGGCCCTGCTCAGCACCCCGGGACAGAAGGTTGGCAAGCGCGCTGGCCTGGGGTATGGGGGCCTTGAGAACCGCCCCCTGGGTAAGGAGCCCACATCCTGGATCTGCCCCTGCTGCACCATGCCCTGGGTGAAGAAGGGCGCCAGGAAGTGTATGGGGTGCGGCAAAAAGACGGAGCCCATCGACACGGCGTCCAACTTGGCCACCCTGGAAATGGCGGGCACGCACTGGCAGCTGACAGTGGATGACCAGGGCAATGCGGTCTGGACGGCGGCCCGGTCCGCAGGTGCCGATGGCCCTGACACGGACCGGGCCCGCGACCTCAAGCTCAGCGCCTCGGTGGATGTCAGCGAGCTGGCCACCGACCCAATGGCATGCGAGAACCTGGACCAGGCCAGCTTCTCGGATTTTGTCCCCTCCTCGGTCCGGGCGGTGATCAGGAACTGCCCCATGGAGCTGGACGAGGATTTCCTGACGGCCCCAATGGGGGAAAGGCCCCCGTTGCCGGGCGACAAGGAAGAGGGCCAGGAGTGCAGGGCCTTCCACCCGTCGGCAGTGAAGGCCTTCAAAATCCAGACCCGGCTCAACGCCACCACCATCGCCCAGGAAGAGGCAAAGAAGGCAGACCAGGTGGCAGCGGTGGAGCGATCTGCGGCGGTCCTCCACGAGCTCCAAGGAGGGGCCATCGATGGAGGAGGCGATGGGGGACAACTCCTCAAGAATTTGGACTTGGACCTTTTCCGCGAGAAACTGCTGGATAAGCTGGGCGCGGACTGGGGGAGGCCCACACCGGAGCTCCTCCAGGCCCAGACCACTGCGGAAGAGGCGAAGGCAAAGCACCAGGCCAGACAAGCGAAGGGCGCCCTCGAGACCAGAATGCTCGAGCCCATCAAGCCTCCATTCAGTGCGTGGCCTAGCGAGGTCCGAGTTGCCATTGAGACAGGGGTCTTTGAGCCGACCACGGCATGGAGGGATTTCAGCATGGACGACCTCACGTCCCTCACGGACTCTTACCTCGAAGCCAAGGCGGTCATCTCGCTGGGTAGGAACCCCTTTCCGGGGGCCCTCCTGGCAGATCTGCCGGATCTGGCGGGGATCCCCATTCCAAAGGCGGGGGGCTCTGGTGCGGCGCGCCCAGGTGCCGAGGGCCCTGACAGGCAGCCCACCATCCCCCCAGCTTCGGGCTCTGGTGCGACGAGCTCAGGTGCCGAGGGCCCTGACAAGCCGTCCGCCACCCCGGGGGGCCTGGACACCCAGGACCCGGAGGTGCAGCTCGCGGTCCTGCGCTGGATGATGAGCAAGCGTGTCGGAGAGGTCCGCATCTTTGCGGGCCGCTGGGTCCGACGACCGGGGCCCTTACACGTCCCGGACTGGGCCAACAACCTCACCAAGGTGAATCCGGAGGCGCTGGAAAAGGGTACGCATCCCAGGAACCACCAGGCGGGTGGACTCCCATGGGCCAGGTACTCCGTTGAGGAGCTGAACCAGCAGGCCAAGGCGGGGGACCGACCATACCCCGAGGACCTGCGATCCATCTTCTGGGCGGCCCCCCACGATCCGGAGGAGGACTTCCACTGGACGCGCCAGATCTCGTCCTGGACACTCCCAGGCTTGCTGGGGATGTTTGGTCACAGCTTCACTCTGCGCCAGCTCTGGGGAGTCTGGGAGTCTCTGCCATTGCTTCAGGGCCCTAGGCAGCGGGGCCCGAAGAACAAGGCCCAGAATCAGATCCGCCTGGAAGGCTGGGAGACCCTGAAGGAAGATGCTCGGTGCTTCCTGAAGGAGGAGGGCCTTCCGCTTCCGCAGACAGGACCGGAGTGGCGCCTGGTCTACCGGGCCATGGGCAAGGTCCTTGCGGCCCGGGCCTTCCTCACGGACACCCCGGCGGAGGTAATGCAGCTCCCGGTCCAGGACGTGGCGGACTCCAAGGAACAGATGATCCTCCGGGCGGTATGTGATGAGCGCATATCGGTCCCGGTGGAGAGTCTCCAGCAGTTCCCAGAGGTGTACCAGGCCCTCATGGACCGCATTGGAGGCCCGGGGGCCCTGGCGGAGGTGAAAGTCAACTGGCGCTGCAACACGAAGCAGTGGTGGGTCGGCGCAGTCCCCGACTCAGTGGCCCCCTCCATCTACCGCAAGCTTGGCTACACCAACGACATGATCAAGCTGATGGGCCTGGACCCCTCCGCCCCCGGGTGCCGGACAGGTGCCGATGGCCCTGACATCCGCCCCAGGGGAGGAGAGGGCGATGAGGGGATCGTCTACCCCCCCATCACATCGGACAACGTCCACGGCGTGGTGGGCAAGGAGTACAAGAAGAAGAACTTCTCGGCAGAGACGAAGCACGTCTTCTGGGCGCACATGGAGTGCGGCCTGGTTCTGAGCTCAGTCACCCCATGGGAGCTCATCCCCAAGACGAAGGGGGAGACCCGGGGGGGCTATATGTGCAAGTACTGCAAGGGGTACTGGCGCGCCGGGGGAGGGGGCACTCGCCTCCTCCAGATCCGGGCCGGCAAGGCCATCCTTCAGCTGGTGCTGGACGAGCCGCCCGATGGACTGTACAACCGCTGGGTCAAGGAACGGCTGGAGTTCTACCGCCGAGTAGAGCCGTCTGCCCCGCTGCGGGATGTCTCCGTGGTGGACCAGAAAGTCCCACGATTTAGGTTCAGCCACGTCACCCAGACCGGCCATGTCTCAGATGCCATCTGGGAGCTGATTCTCCGGAACCCGGAGGCGGCGGCGCTCAAGCGCATTGACGACATTGCCAAGGGGGCCGTGTGATCATGCAGCACTGCGGCCATCCGGAACGGAATTGCAGGGCACCCCGGGGGAGGACAGCTGCCGATGGCGCTGATATCCCCCCCGGGCACAGCACAGGCCTTGGCCTGTACCAGGCGAGAAAAAGGGGCGCGCTTGGTTTTCCCTTTCCGTGGAGGCTCCCCGGATCCCCCCCCCCCGTTTTCGGGTTTGGCTTTCCGGGGTTTTGGGGCCCCCCCCCTGTTGTTGGGTTGGGGTTGTCGCCTTGAGATTTGGCTCCGGGCTCGAGTGGATCATGATGATGTGGAGGCCCCGCCTCCCTTCCCCGTTTGGAACGACCTTCCTAGGGGTCCCAACCGCGGTCCAGTTGATTTTGCATGACCTTGGATTTGCACCAGTGCAGTCGGACGGGGAAATCCTCGTGGCGTGCTGCCTGGAATGGGTCAAAAAGGACAAGGTCGCCAACCCGCATGCATTGAGTGAAAGAGAGACCCGGGAAGAGGACTTGGGGCCCCCCGGGGCCTTTTCCCGGGTCTCTCTTTTGAAGTGCGTGCAAGGCGCCGGACCACACGTTTCTTGCCTTTGACGGAGGAGGTGATGGCGGCCAGCTCCTGAAGAACCAGGGGAGTGGATCCTCTCCGGATCGATTGAGGCCCCGGATGCCCTGGCAGTGGCCAACAAGTGGCGGCATTGGAAACCAGGGAAGATCAAAACCCAACTGCCGACATCCCAACGAGCGTTGGAACAGCACTTGAGGGCCAGGTGGCTGGAACGCCTCCTGGGCTACTTCATTCCCTTCCGCCACCAGATCCCCTACATGCACCAGGTGATGGGGGCCAAGGAGCTGGAGGAGTTTGGCCACCTGTTCGGAGATGCCCGTTTCCGGACCATCCGTGCACATTGCTTGGCCTATGAGGGCATGCGCAAGATCGGCTTCCAGAACCTCCCCTGGACGGCCGGGGACGTACGGCACCTCATGAACCAGGCGGTCACGCTGGAGGTCACCCCGGCGAAGCTCCAGAAGTGGTGGGGCACTTTAAAGTGGCTCTCCATTAAACTCGGCATGCTCAACGTTGACGAACACAAACAGCTCCTGGCAAAGCGAAAAGCCATCCAAGAGACATTGGTGGACACCCAGGTCAAACCACAGCGTAAAGCGGTGGTTCCGACCCGGGCGATTGTTTGGGC